GGCTGGGTGGCCAGTTAGGGAACTCCATTTGCATGCACTATTTTTTCTGACCGCAACGGAACGCAGGCATTGATTTGCCATGCGTTCCGGTGCAGGCGATTGCACCGCGGTGCCATTGACTTTAATGCACCGCCACGCCCCCTCCCACCCCAGAACGCAGTGAGCTGGCCGGGATGCAGTCCAGTGTGTTCCAGCACTAAATCGGCCAGAACATACTGGAGCGGGTGTGAACTAGCCCTGAAAGTTTAAAAAAAAAACATACTTTTTATTTATTAGAAGAAAAAAAAGGTATCAAAATCATTTTTTTGAAGGGGCGGGGCCCTTAATGGTTTCTTGCATCGGGGCCCTGAGGTTTCTAGTTACGCCTCTGATTCTGCGTATACAATGTTTATGCAATGCTGACAATTCTGCATGTAACTAGCTCTAATCATTGACTGTTTTCCACAGGCCAAATGGCGCCGACTGTGTGTAGGAGGCCCAGTTTCGCTGGATATGTTTGAACACATCAGCCTGATGACGTTGGATTCACTTCTGAAGTGCACGTTCAGCTATGACAGTGACTGCCAAGAGTAATATTAACTTTTATTTCCCAATAAATACTTTAACATGATAAAAGCACTCAGCATAGTGCCATAGTATAACCTTATCTATAGTAAAATGTGGTGTAATAAGCATTCCCTTATATCTCAATTACAGGAAACCAAGTGATTATATTGCTGCAATATATGAGCTCAGCTCCTTAGTGGTGAAACGTGAACACTGTCTTCCCCACCATTTTGATTTAATTTACCGATTCTCCTCCAATGGAAGAAAGTTCAGACACGCATGCAATATAGTGCACGATTTTACTTCAGGTGTGGTACAGCAGAGGAAGAAAGCACTACAAGAGAAGGGGGCAGAGAGCTGGATAAAATCCAAACAAGGGAAGACCACAGATTTCATTGACATTCTGTTACTCTCAAAGGTGTGAAAGAAGATTTAGAAAATTCTACTATGTGATCTGATTCTATCTGTAATAATCTTCTGTTTTAGAGCTTATATATCTGGCTTTCTATTTTTAAGGTAAAGTCCACCTTTTAGAAAAAAATACAAAATAAATAAATGCACACTTCTTCATAAAAGAGAAAATGTGCAATAATTATAATTTTTTTTGCATTCGAGCCAGTAAAGCATTGCAACTGCGAAAAAGCAGATAGCGGGTGCAATGCTCTGGCTCCTGCAGATTCTCCCTCCTATCCACATACAAAACTCAATATGGACATTTAGTAGCAAAAGGGAGGATAAATGAAGGGACTACAAGTGCGGTGACGTCAAGTGCCTCTGCCGCGGTTGCTGACGGGACTTGTAGTTTCTCCATTCACAGATGCCATCATAGATAGATAGATATATCTATATAAAGTACATATATACATACATACATACATACACGTGTATATATACACACATATATATATATA